GAGATCGGTGATATACCCTATATTTTACCACTTTTACTATCTATTTTACTATGTTTTTATATACTTTAATAAATCTTTTCTACCAAAAGAGAAATTTTTTTCATATATATGGATTTTAAGATCTTAATAGGTTTAATCATCAAAATGATACAAAAAGGAGCAAAAGAAGTGTTATCTATGATACAACTACTTATTTAAGTCAAATGAGCCAAGTCAAGTCATTATATCTTGAAGATAAAATATATTCTAAAAGTTGGACAGAACGTATGTGCCAGAAGTTTACTGATGAACGGATGACCGAATCAGCTTGGAATCTAATCAAACTTTGTAGGAAGATAGCCCTTTGAGTTAGTTTCCAATGAAGTTAGAACGACACCATTTGGAGCTGTACTTTAGAAGATACACTGAAAACACTGAAGATATGTCAAACTGCCTTCGAAGTGAAGCATGTGCATAAATGAGCCAAGCACCGGGCCGCTCCATCGGCCAATGATCCAGGCCATTTCCAACATTCTAGAAGCCTCAAGGAAGACGTCAACATCGGTTACGCAACCCGACCGTTGCTTGGACCGGTGGTTGCCTCAGTTTCGACGTAAAAGACTCTTTTGCCCGAAGATAACCCTAGCCGACTTAGGACCTCTTAAACCCCTATATATACTTGATTTTAGCCTCTCTAGGAAGGAAGAGTAGCCGGCCAAACAGCTTAAATCAATACCTAAACATGTATTTCGTTTATCTCTTGTTCTTAATGCATCTTTGATTCTAAAAGCCTTTAACGGTAGTTCGACTTTGCCCTATTGCAAAGAGATGAGATCTAATCTCTTATGCTTTGTAGATCAACGATTTATACTATGTTTATTTGCTTTACTCTTGCTGCTCCTTATTGCAAAACATGTAGAGTATTAGCCTTGATTTGATTTCTATGCATTTTCTTATTTCTGTGTTATCACATAATTGAACGTTTAAGGTTTTATTCTAGAATTTATTCTTCATCTCTATTTACGCTCAAACCATGATCTGGCTTAGCTACCCAGTGACTGATATTAGGTTGATTTACTCTCCAAAAGCTTGTTATATCTCTGGACCTAGTATTTGATGAGCTAAGCGTCATAACAATTTGATAGGTTAGTTAAGGAGTTTAGTGAACAATCGAATCTTACACTTTACTCGTGTCTTCACCTTGTAATAACTATATGATAGTTGAGTCTATTAGGGAAGAAGACATAGAAGTTTGATCCACGACAGTGGTATAATTTTACCTTAGTGATTTGAGTTCTAGAACAACTAGTATTAAAAACCCTAAATCGTTTGTTTGTGTCTTGCATATGTCTTGAGAATTGCTTGATCTTTTATCTTGATTAAACTATCTATCTTTATTTTATTGCTTTGTTATTTGCTTTCATCTAGCTTAATTCGCATCATATAGATTTGTAGCGCATCATCACTTAGTCCTTAGTGGATCGACCCCTAAGTACTACAATTGTCAACTGTGCACATGCAGTCTTCTAGCATTATAAATTTAAAGCTTGCATATGCATCTAAACCCTGCACCACATCATTTAGCAGCCATCTCAGAACTCTCTGTCCATTCCTCATGAACAACCAGCTTGTTCACTTGCACACTAGTATCTAACATCTTGACATAACCAGCAGTAATGTCATCCAAGTAAGCTTCAGAGCAAGTAGAACGAACTAATGCTCTCTCTAATGGATCCGTAGGATGCATAGCTTCGAAAGCTTCCTCCGCAGC